TCCTCTCTCTCTCTCTCTCTCGTTTCGAAACACTAAACGGGAACGGGAAGATGCGTTCCCGTTTAGTGTTTCGAAACGAGAGAAAGAGAGAGAGAGAGAGAGAGTGTCTCGTCTCTCGAAATGAGAGAGAGAGAGAGAGATCGCCCCCTCTCTCTCTCTCTCCGTCTCTCTCTCTCTCTCTGCGACTTTCAAATCGCCTTTCCGAAGCCGTTCAAAGCGGGGATGAACCCATTTATTTTTCTTATTTCTTTTTTTTTTGTCGTTTTTTTTTCCCCATTTTTTTCGTCCGCTTCACATGGACGTTCGGGATGCCTGCGCCCGGTAGTCCCAGCCCGGCACGGATCGGCGTACCGGTCGGCAGAGGCTCGGACTCGATAGCTGGGCCAGGTACTGGTGGTTTAAAAAATAAAAATAAAAAACGGAAAATTATGTCCCTCCTTTCTTTTGAATGCCTGTCCTCTCTTTAGAGCATGCTCACACTAGGCCCTCAAAGTCGCAAAATAGCTAAAGCAGCGGCTGAGATAGGGTACTTCTTTTACAAGGGCTACATCTGGCCGCTGATTTTGCGATTATGCCATTTTCAGTGCCTAGTGTGAGTATGCCCTTAGCCAACCATTCTACCTTTCCGGCCTCACCACCTCTCACTTGCCTTGAGCTGTGTCAAGCCTGTGCTTAGCTTGCATGCTTGTTGTTAATTATGTTAGCCAGGTTCATCCTTATATCCAGAAATATCTCACTTGCCTTGCATCCTGCAACACTCATGACGCAGCCAGTATTGTCACCATGCCCAGTCTGCCTGGGACATGAGGCCTCTTGGACACTCCAACACTGAGCTGTGTCAAGCTTGTATGCTGCCTGTGCTTAGCTTGCATGCTTGTTGTTAATTGTACTGGCCAGGTTCATCCTTATCTCCAGAAATATCTATCTATTCTAATATGAACTCAGTGCCTGAGCTTAGCTTGCATGCTTGGTGTTAATTGTGTTGGCCAGGTTCATCCTTATATCCAAAAACATCTATCTACGCTAATCTGAATCCAAAAACATCTATCTATGCTAATCTGAAGTTAAGTGCCTATGCTTAGCTTGCATGCACTTTGTTTAATTCTGTTGGCCAGGTTCATCCTTATACCCAGAAATAGATATCTATCTATTCTAATCTGAAGTGAGTCGAGTTGAAGAGTTGTGTGATAGGTGAGTATCTTGTACGGTTGGGAGTGGACTCAAGTTAGCTTGCAAGCTTGACACAGCACCAATGGGCCCTCTTCCGATAGTCCTTGGTATTCATCAGTTGTTGCAGCAGAACTCTCAGAAAGAGGAGGAGGAGGAGGAGGAGGAGGAGGAGGTGAACCTTGCAGAAGTTGAGCGTTGCCCATGCCTGAACGCCGCTGCAACTCCAGAACGTTCTGAGGGAGGCATTGACCGATTTGGATATGATGTAGTCAAACCTGGAGTTGCTGGAAGGGGTCATCAACTGAAGGGTTATACGTTTGACAGCAGGAGTCATCGACACTGGGTTGAACTTTTGAAATATACGTTTGATGGCAGGAGTAATTGACACTGGGTTGAACTTTTGAATACCAGTTCGAACCTCGGTTGACGAGCAGGTCCAAGTTGCGGAATCCTGGCTCTCAGTTAGTCATGTTGGACTGACAGAGTTATGGGTCTGTGTCCTGCAGGTGCAAGAGAGAGTGGGAGTTATGGCTGTTACTCTATCCATCTGCTGTTATTATTCCTGTATATACCTGCCATTTCTAGCTATTTGCTATTGCCGGTTATCAGCTAGTTTTGACTATTGCTTGCTTTTGCGGTTGCCCGGAATGGCTACTTGATAGTGCTTGCTGGAGCGCTGGACAAATTGGCTATTTTTGCTATTTCTTGCTGTTGCTCTAGTAGCCAAATGGCTATCTGCTATTGCTTCTTCGTGATGATCTGGCCTGATGGCTATTTGCTATTGCTAGTTGCTAGCTATTTACCATTTCGTTCTGTTACTCTTGTCAATGACTATTTGCTATTGCTGGTTGCTATTGCTAGCTATTTGCTACATTGGCTACGTGCAATGCCAAATGGCTATTCGCTGTTTTGCAGGGCTATTAGCGATTTCTTGTCCATTTGCTATGGCTGGTTGCCAGCTGTTGGTGCCGCCAGTGAATCCTCGTCGAGAGTACTGTCTACATTCATTGTATGGCTCTGGTTATTCTGTGATCCTGCTCTTGCTGACGCGGAGATTGATACAATCTTCTTGGCGGTTTTAACTTGTTTATTATTAATATCCTGATTTGTTTGCATGCAGGCTGCACTCATCAGACTTGCTGTTGAGAACCGGGAAGTTGTTGTGCCAGGCTACACACATCTCCAGAGGGCCCAGCCGCTTCTGCTACCACACCTTTTGATGGCTTATGTTGAACAGGTTGAGCAATTTTGCTGCCTCTCATCCCCTTATCTCCTTTCCCCATAATAAGCAGATTCCATGTTTCAACAATGCTGCTGCTATTGACTGCCCCATCGCTCCATTAACTTACAAGTGCATCTGGATGTCTGCGGCTAAACAGGAGCGCGTATACTCGGATGCTGCTACGGTTACTTTGGGTATATTGACAGCTGATTGTATTGCTCTCTCTCTCTCTCTCTCTCTCTCTCTCTCTCTCTCTCTCTCT